TATCTATAGGTTACTTTTATGTATTATAACTTAATTCTATGGATATTGTGCTTGCTAGGCACAAATTGTCACAAATGGTAGAATTGAAAAAATAAAAGTAAAAATGGCTAAATTGTAAGAGATTCAAAGTTTGAGGTCTAAAGTGTAGATACTCATGAGTTGTGTCAAACCTCAAGATGAAGATTTGAGATGTGCTAGGGTCAATTTGATGAGAAAAGAAGTCAAATGGCTGAAATATATCAAACAATTATCACACATCAATTTCTAGCCGGAAAGTTATGCTCAGAATTTTCAGCCTTTGTTTGAGACCTATTTTTGGCATTTTAAACATTCAAATTGGAAAAATATTATTTTTATAAGAATTGTATCTCTATAAGTTAGCTTTTCAATACAATTTGAATCATTTCAATTAGATATCGAAGAGAAAGTTATGACAAAAATACTAATAGCTACTCGAAAATTAACAAAGCGTGTGCCTAGTACAAACTTGCCCACACTTGGCCCCTTACTGATTCCACTGGAACCCTTTTTTTCTCTTCAAGGTGCCCATTTAGAAGGAATTCAGGGAAAAATATTTTGTTTCCTTTTCTTGACTTGAAATGACACATCCCATCTCAAACTCATTATTAGACTCAAGACGTGATGTGCACCGATGATAAGTGCCAACTAGGCACTGGACCCATCACCAAGACAAAAGTAACTAAACTTTGATAATAAAGCTTCATTTGACCAACTAAAATTTTTCTGAACTCCAGTGTACCAACATAATAATATCATTCACTCGCCCAGCCAAAAACATCCATATCATTTGCATCATAACTGCCTCTCAAAAGGATAATAGAAGGCAGTTTAGATTAAAATATTCCATCATGATCATTAGTACATATAAATACAAAAAAAAATCCTCCAATATAATGTAAATATTTCACTTGATGATTACACAATTTCGAACAAAAGAACCTACAATTAGTGGTAGTAGTGGCTGTAAAACTATCAAAATAATCTCCACCACAACTCAGTCAACAGCCTCCTATAACGAAAGTTAAGAAAAAATATGAGATAATAATCCCAGTGAGTGGAGTGCTTAAAAGATGGTTGTACTGTCCTTTATGTATATATGTATAATTGTAACAACAAGATGAGTAAGTACATTAGACAATTCAATAATCTAAAACCATAATCTGAAATCCATAAGCTGAACTGTAAACGAGGAAATGTAAGTTGAAGACTAATAATCCACTATATAATTAAAATTCACATCAAAATATATCCCATGTAAACATCTACTAATGATATGAAAGCTATAAATCATATGTACATAAACAGTCTGATCAATACTCTATACACGGCCGTAGCCCCTCAGTGTACAAGAGGGAAATAACATAATCATCCTTATACACGGTTGTAGCCCCTCAGTGTATAATGGATACCTTTACCCGTGGCCGTAGCCCCTCAGTGGATAAGAGTTACCCTTACACACGGCTATAGCCCCTCAGTGTATATTGGATACCTTTACCCACGGCCGCAGCCCCTCAGTGGATAAGAGTTAAATATATGACTCTAGTACACAGCCGTAGGCCCTTAGTGCACTAGAGTAAGATAATCACATTAATTATCTAATGATAATTTCAAAACAATCATGCTCATTTACTAATTCTCGAAAATAAAGCATTTCATGTAATTAACATGCTTCTATAAAATAAAAAGAAAATCTTCTTTTTGAAAACATATATTCTCCACTCACATATATAGGCTGGACTAATGGGGCTAGTATGCTATTCCCACATCCAAATCCCCTCCTGAAACGATCATAAATATAAACCACTTCAATTCCATCCATATACAGTTACAAGGGATTTCTCAATAATAACCACTTCTTATCATCAAAATAAAATATATATCCCTCACTAAACAATAAGCTGAGACTTAATATTTATATTTCATTTGGTTACTTAAACATACGTTCACTTAATTTCGAATCACTCTGCATCCCTAATTCATCAATACTAACCTTTCCAGGCTACCCCATTGATAAGTACGTTTTTGTGCACTTATTTAATGCACAAACATGACTAAATCGCGAGAAAAATATTTAAATTGTGGCTTAAATTTGTTCAATTGTTGGATTGTAGGGTATAGTGATGGACATGGTGGAATTCACAAGAAAAAGAAGCAAAAAGGACCAAAACGAACCAAAATGAAAGTTCAAGGACCAACATGCAAATATTCAAAAGATGAACCAAAGGAGCAATCAAAGATTCGATCAAGCCAAGTACTAATTGGAGATTAACATTGATAGAGCGAATGAAAAGAAGGAAGAAATGAGGCCAAGAATGTGGAAAATAAAGTTTAAAGACTAAAATCAACATTTGGAAAATAGGAAACCTATGCGGTCGCGTAGGTTATACCTATGCCATCGCATAGGTGCCTCCCGAAATTCCTTGGGCCAATTTTTGTTAGCCTACGCGACCGCATAGGCATAAATCTAGGACCGAACATGCAGTTATTTATTTTCATTATAATTCTTTTGGAACTCAATTGGGACGCGAAATAAAAACTTAGAGCTGTCATATTTCGAGGGAGAACGGATTGGGAAGCAAGAAAACACATCTTGGAGAGGATTTTGAGCCAAAGTAATAAGGATTTACACGAAGATCATCAAGATTTCAAGCAAATTCATAACCCGCTGATGCTTTTTCCTCAATTTATCATGTATTCTGTAATTTTTTCCATGATAGGCTATGTTTTCATGTACTAGGAGATCGATGTACCATATGATGTGATTTCTTTAAATTCTAGTTTTCAATTTGTCAATAAACACGTATTGAATGTTTGAATGATTTATATACAATAATTTTCTTCCATAATTAAGTACACGTAATTATGTGATGTTTGGTGATTTATTTCATCCTTCGATAGAAGAGAAATAAATTTGACAAGGTCTAAATCGTCGTAGGATCCGATAGGGGGATAGAGATACACCCCTATGCTTTGCTTGGATCTTTAGATGTTCATAAAACCACATGCATTCTTATATACACATTCGTCATAGAGATATAGGCCGGTGGTGTATAAGAATAGGTTCAATACATTTCGAGAGAGAGTGTTGAATAGATTTAGGAGCATTGATTCGTCAATAATTCAATCGTGTTGTCATATTGTGAAATTAGGGTTAAGAGTGATCATTGCATGGGAATTCGTGATTCTAGTACTTTTAATTTTCATTGAATACAACCAATTTGTGTTTTAAACATTTAATTTGCATTTCAATTCGTTAAAATATTGTTTTGCATATTGAGTTCATTCCAATCATCAATTTTTGTAAATTAGGGTTTTTCTAAGAATAAATTCCTGTTTTGAAAATTTTGTTTTAGTTAAGGCTAAGATAGTTAGAATTGAACTACTCGGTCTCTGTGGGACGATACTTAGAACTTAAGATTTCACTTTATTACTTGTTAACGAACCGTACACTTGCGGTAATTTTAAATCGAAAGAAATATTTCGTGAACAAATTTTTGGCGCAATTGCCGGGGACTAAGTATTCGTTTAATTTTATCTATATTGGCACTAATTCAAACATCCATATTTGCATTTTCTATTATTTTGTTGTGTTTTATTTCATTTTATTTAATTTCATTTTGATTTGTTCTATTTAATATTTCATTTTAACATCTAAGCACTCATTTTGACTCTTCTAGCAGATTTGCATGTTAAGGTGTGCTGAAGGAGAATTGATCCCAGTTGATCCAGAAATCAAACGAACTCTACATTGAAGGCAGCGAGAAAACAGAGAGGCACAGCAACAAATGGCTAACGTGCAGAATAATCCAATTTTTTAGGCTAATAAAGAAGGGGCAACGGATGAAGGAAATATGCTCGTATGAGATTTCATGACCCCTCAAAAAATTCAAAGCCAGTCAAGCATCGTGTATCCACCATTTGGACAACTGAACTTCCAACTGAAGACTAATGTGATACAGTTATTTCAAAACAGCCATCAATTCAATGGAAGGACTGAAGATAATCCATATACACATGTTTCTCATTTTCTAGAGATGTACCAACACTTAAGATATCAAGAAATCTCAGACGATGCAATCAGATTAAGATTGTTTCCACATACACTGCGCTACAAGGCAATTGAATGGCTAGATTCACAACCAATCGCAAACATCACTACATGAAATGATCTAGCCTAGAAATTCTGCACTAAGTTCTTCCCACCTGCTAAGATTGCAAAGCTCAAGCACAACATTTCTATCTTCCGTCAAGGCGACTCGGAGAATTTCAATGAAGCTTGGAATAGGTTCAAAAATAAGCTATGAAAATGTCCACACCATGGAATTAGCAAGGGCCTTTAGGTCCAATACTTCTATGCGGGATTACTCTCAGCTTTTTAAAGCATGGTTGATTCGTCTTCTAATGGATCGCTGTCCACAAAGACAATTGATGAGCATTGAAACTTTTCGAGACTATGGCTACCACTTTAGTTATGTGAACATCGAAACGAGCAGTTCAAAAGAAGACACTGGGGTTTATGAAGTGGATGTTTATTCCGCCTTATTAGCAAAAATTGATTCATTATTTCACAAGGTAGAGAACATGACACAATCAGCTACAGCAGCATAGTCGAAGAAGGCTAGTTGTGAAGAATGTGGAGCCGAATATATAACAGAAGAATGTCCAATCTTGGTACAAGGAGTAGAGTAGGCAGATTTTGCTCGATGGGGACAGCGGCAGCAAAATAACACATATGGGGAAACATATAATTCGAGTTGAAAAAAGCACCCCAACTTCTCCTGGAGCAATCAAAACCAAAATAAGTCACAGGGTCAATATCAGCAGCTAGAGAAAAATCCTCAATTAGAAGAGATGTTTTGTAAATTCATGGAGAAGACTAATCAATACATGGAAGCAAACAATCAATTCATCAGGAAAATCGAGGCCACTCTTCAAGACCAGAATATAGCAATTAAAAATTAGAGACTCAAGTGGGACAAATGGCAGTTGCTTTGACTGGCAGAGCACTGGGTAGCTTACCAAGTAACATGAAAATAAACCCGAAGGAGCATGCTAAGGTAATTACAACTCGAAGTGGAAAGCAATTGCCAAAAATCCGTGTAAAAAGGTCGGGTGTAAATCAAGAAACAAAATCTCCAACGATGGAAGATCCTATAGAGCATGACGAACAGATAGAGGAATCCATCCCAGCTGAAAAACCATGCAAAACACAAGGTAAAGCAACTATTAACCCTCATGAGCCTTCCATAAATTTTCCACAAAGGCTAAAAAAGCAGAAATTGGAGCAACAATACAAGAAATTTCTTGAAGTTTTTAAGAAACTCCACATTAACATCCCACTCGCACAATACAAGAAATTTCTCGAAATCTTCAAGAAGCTTCACATTAATATCCAGCTCGCTGATGTACTATTCCAGATGCCTAGCTATGCAAAGTTCCTAAAGGACATGCTATTAAATAAATGCAAGTTAGGGGACCACAAGACAGTAATGCTAATGGAGAAGTACAGCGCCAGAATTCAGAAAAAGCTCCAATCGAAATTGAAAGATCCAAGGAGTTTTACTATTCCTTACACTATTGTTAAAGTTTATTTTGATAAAGCCTTATGTGATCTTGGTGCAAGTATTAATCTAATGTCTTTGTCTGTTTTCAAGAAACTTGGCTTAGGAGAGGTTAAGACGACTACAGTGACACTGTAGTTGGCTGATCGGTCATTGACTCAACCCAAGGGAATAATAGAAGACTTGCTTATTAAGGTTGTAAAATTCATATTCCCTATGGATTTCCTAATTTTGGACATGGAAGAGGACAAGGACATCTCGTTGATACTTGGCATACTGTTCTTGCCAATATGGAGAGCTTTGATCGATGTTCAGAATGGACAATTGATTTTGAGATTGGGAGAAGAGCAAATTTTGTTTAATATCTTCAAGACAATGAAACTATCTATAGAGTCAGACAGTTGCTTCCAGATTGATGTGATTGACAAGGTGGTTCAAGATTCATTTTTGCTACACAATCTATCAGATGCCTATGAAGCTTACATTGTACACTCTCAATCAATGCAGTTCGATTCAGTGGAGATAGAAACATGTGCAAGGTTTTTGGATACTAACCAACCGTATACACTTAGAAGGTATTTTGAAGAGCTTAGGACAGGACCCACGAAACCACTACCATCCATTCAGCAGCCACCGAAATTAGAACTTAAGCAGCTACAACCACATCTTAGATATGCATACTTGGGGGAGTCTTGTACACTCTTGGTTATCATCTCAAACATAGTCAGTGAAGTGGAAGAGGATAAACTGCTTAGGGTACTCAAGGAGAATAAAATAGCAATTGGATGGACTATAGCAGATATCAAAGGGATTAGCCCTTCACTGTGTATGCATAAAATTCTCATGGATGAGAATTACCGACCAACCATAGAGAGTCAAAGGAGGTTGAACCCAACTATGAAGAAGTTGGTTAGAGCCGAGGTACTCAAACTTCTAGATGCTGGAATCATATATTCGATACCGGACAGTACATAGACTAGCCTAGTTCAGGTGGTACCAAAGAAAGGTGAATCACAGTAGTGCCGAATGATAAAAATGAGCTGATACCGAGCAGAACAGTGATCGGATGGAGGGTTTACATCAATTACCATAAACTTAATGCAGCTACAAGAAAAGATCACTTTTCCCTTCCATTTATTGATCAAATGCTGGAGAGATTGGCAGGCCACTCGCATTACTATTTTCTCGGCGGGTATTCAGGTTACAATCGATATTAGTAGCATCAGATGACCAAGAAAACAACCTTTACTTGCCCATATGGTACTTTCACATATCGCAGGATTTCCTTCGGCCTTTACAATGCCCCTACCACATTTTAGAGATGCATGATGGCAATTTTCTCAAACATGATGGAGAAATTTATAGAAATATTCACGAACAATTTCTTGGTCTTTGGGTCTTCATTTGACGAGTGTTTAGAACACTTGAATCTAGTATTACAAAGATGCAAGGAAACTAATTTTGTATTGAACTAGGAGAAACGCCACTTCATGAAGCAAGAAGGAATTGTACTTGGGCATCTGATCTCAGCAAAAGGAATTGAGGTGGACAAAGCAAAAATTCAAGTTATTAAGAAGCTACTATCGCCAACATCAGTTAAAGAAGCTCACAGTTTCTTGGGACATACAGGGTTCTACAAGAGATTTATTAAGGATTTTTGAAAAATCATTAAGTCTCTATGCAACCTGTCGATGAAAGACGTGCCGTTTGAATTTAATGAGGAATGCCTGACAGCTTTCAACAATTTTAAGGAGAAACTAACGTCAGCATCTGCGATTGTAGAACCTGATTGGGAATTGTCTTTTGAATTAATGTGTGATGCCAGTGATCATACCGTGGGTGCAGTATTGGGACAACAAAGAAACAAGGTCTTCCAAGTGATATATTATGCAAGCAAAACCTTGAATGATGCCCAGATCAACTACGCGACCACTGAAAGGGAATTATTGGTTGTGGTATATGCATTTGACAATTTCAAGTCATATCTCGTGGGGATTAAGATCATAGTCTACACAGATCACTCCGCATTGAAATATTTGATGACAAAGAAGGATGCCAAGCGGAGATTAATTCGTTGGATATTGTTGCTGCAAGAATTCAACATTGAAATCAAGGATAAAAAGGGCAGTGAAAATGTGGAGGCAGATCACCTATCTCGATTGGAGTCAGGAGAGGCAGACAAATCAGTGGATATCAATGAGGATTTTCCATACGAGCAGGTATTTAGTATAGAAAAAGGATCTTGGTTTGCTAATATTGTCAACTATTTAGCTAAGTCTATTCCAGCACCAGATTACTCAAGTTACCAGAGAAAAAAATTCTTTGTCGAATTGAAGTACTACTTTTGGGAAGATCCTATTCTATATAGGCAAGGGGCTGATCAGATCGTAAGGAGGTATATACCCAAAGATGAAGTACTCGAGATTCTAGAGCATTGCTATTCATATGCCTATGCGGGACAATTTTGGAGCTTCAAAGACTGTTGTAAATATTTTTCAGTAGGGATTTTATTGGTCTACATTGTTCAGAGACGCCTTTGAGTTTGTCAAGGAGGTGTGGTAGATGTCAAAGCACAAGAAATATCTTAATAAGGAATGAGATGCCACTCAACAACATATTGAAAGTTGAGATATTTGACGTTTGGAGAATTGACTTTATGTGACCTTTTTTCCCATCGTTTTCAAATTAGTACATCCTAGTGGCAGTTGACTATGTGTCTAAATAGGTAGAAGCAGTTGCATTTCCAACAAACAACGTGAAGGTGGTAATTGGATTCTTGAAAAAATACATTTTCACTAGATATGGCACACCGAGGGCAATAATCAGTGACGGGGACAAACACTTCTACAATCGCCAGTATGAGCAACTGTTGAGTAAATATGGGGCTAAACACCGTGTAGCAACCCCATATCATCCACGGACCAGCGGCAAGTTGAAGTGTCTAATTGATATTTGAAGAGAATACTTGAGGTTACAATGAATTTTCCCCCGAAAGGATTGGTCTAAAAAACTGGATCATGTATTGTGGTCATATATGATAGCATTCAAGACACTAATAGGCATATCTCTATATGCTTATTTTTTCAGAAAATGTGCCACCTCCCACTAGAAATAGAACACCGGGCATACTGGGCTATGAAACAGTTAAACATTGATTTGAAGGCCTTTGGTGAAAAGTGTTTACTGCAACTTAATGAGTTAGATGAATTTATGATGAAAGCATATGAAAACTCAAAACTTTATAAAGAACGCACCAAAAAGTGGCATGATTTACACATTCAGAGGCGAGAGTTTAAAGTGGAGTAGAAAGTTTTATTGTCTAACTCGAGTTCAAGCTCTTTCTAGGAAAATTAAGGTCAAGGTGGTCGAGTCCTTACATTATCACAAAAGTTCTAGCATATGGAGCCATACAAGTCAGCCATGAAACAAAAGTTACATTTAAAGTTAATGGGCAAAGGTTTAAACACTACTGGGGTGGTGACTTCTCCAAGCAAAAGTCCACCGTTCAACGCGGAACACCAAATTGAAGAAGTGGAAAAGTCGAGCTATCGACTATAATCTAGCACTGGATGGGAGGCAACCTACTGTATCCTTTCGATTTTTTTTACTATTATTTTTTTTAAAGTGAATTCTTCATTTTATATTCATATTTATGATAGTTAATAGTTAGGTCATCGATCGTCCATTCATGTCAAAAGAGTCTAAGCATTATTCACACGAGTCCATAGACACTGAGCACGAGTTAAGACTGATTGAAATTGTTATTGGGTGATGAGTGTGACATTCATGCATGTCAAGGTACACAGTCATTTTTCATAAAATTTTCAAGAGTGTGGTTTGAATTCAATTCAAAAATTGGTTTTGGTACTAAGTCCTTTAGCCGGCACATACCCCGTGTGGGTTAAAATATTTTCAAAATTTTTTGGGTATATAAGATGTCGGGTCAAATCTACCAATCGAAAACCAAAAATTTTGGGAAAATGTGAGCCAAGACGTGTTTTTGGGAATTAACTGTGTTGGTACAATTTCATATTCATTAGTAATACTACGTGAAAAAAAATGGTCTGTTTGTGGTCTATGCGGTCGCATAGACCAAACATCCATGGGCAGAGAAATTAAGTGGACTAGCCACTTGATCTATGCGACCGCATGGCTTTATGCTATGCGGCCATATAGATGAGCCAGTCATGGGTTTAACCAATGACCTGGCTATTGTATGTATAACTCTCCCCAAATTACCCACGACCTCCGTATCTTCAAACTTTAGGGCACGATTTCTCCCCTAAATCACCTGCATACAATCACGCTAGCACACAAATTCATTCTCTTACACATAGCAATCAACAATCACTTGAGAACACATCGACAAATCCACACATTCATCATAAAATCATTAACTCTAAGGTATGCATTCCATCTCTTTCTTGTGCTCTATGTTATTTCGATTTTTGGTCCACATTCGATTTTCTTCTGTAAATTATGGAGATAGGGCATAGGTAGATGCAATAGGTATTGAATATGATTTTGATACTTTGTGGATTTATTTTACTCATTCATTCATTCATATGGTAGAACTCAAAGTTAATGCACACAACATGTTTGATGAATTGCCTAAGTGACGAGTTTTATGCAATTTTGTGAACTTTGCTTTTGTAGTGCATTCCAATTGAGCTTAGTAGCATTTGGGTGATGAGATATCAAAGAAAGGGCATTGGAAAACATAAAACCCCAAATTGCCCACACGTAGGCTTGACATGGCTAAGTCACGACACCTCTCATCACCCACTTAGCCCCGTAATTTGACACCCCTATCGACATCCAAATGGCCTGAAATTCGAATATGTGTTAGAGTCCATTGAATTCTTCCATATGACTAGAGATAGCCTAGCAAAATTTTGATATTTCTCGGTGATGGTCGGGGTGAAAGTCCTCACTCAGTCATAGGTCAAAATTTCTTAAAGTGCATGTTTGGGCTTAATTTTGTTAGTTTTTCTTATTGGTGCAATATTTTTACTATCTTGAACAACAATTCTTGAATATCGCATACCAATATGTTATACATGCATCTCGAAGTAAGTTTGGAAGATTCGTGCTTCACAATCGACTTTCTTGTTTTTCTTTATGCCTATTTTCATTACACTATTTTCATTACACTGTGGTTTTGATATTGAAAATTAGCTTCTTGCATAATGTCGTCGAAAGGAACTTCAAAAGGGAAGGAAAAGGTCGGATCATCATCTGGGATAGCGTGAACTAGAGATCTCTAGGAAGGCATACGGAGATTCCTAAGTCCCGACACTACAGCCCGCTATGCAAATTTTGTAAGCCAGTTGGCAATGATCCCGAGAGGCTAGTGAAGTTAGAAGATTTCCTTGGTTTGAATTAGTCACCTTGGTCAAAAATTGTGGATGGGAGAAACTAGTGGAACGACCACACCCTGTATATGATAATTTGGTTGGAGAGTTCTATGCAAACTTCAATGCTGATATTAATACACCGGGCTATGATCATTTGCACCAGACATGGATTAGGGGACAGTGGATCAAGTTTTCACCAAAGGTTATTCATGACTATCATTAGCTCACATGGAACAACACAACCCCCATCTTGGGCGAGTTTAACTAGAATGAAATGGCAGCAGTTTTACTGGGACGAGAGAATGCTTGGCCACTCCCTACCACTGAATGGTACCAAATTGAGTTGACACCATCCATAGCCATCTTGTGGCTGTTTATGTGCCACAGCATTAAGCCGACCTCGTATCAAACAACTTTTACAGATCCTACGGTCGGTTTTATATATCATTTGGTTAGGGAAAACATGATTGACTTTGCCATGCTTTGCTACTATCATATAAATAATATGGGTGTTTGGGGGAGATAAGCACAGTTTTATGATTTTCTTTAGCCTCATCAGTGACATATGTAAGGCTGCAGGTGTNGTATATGAAGCTTGCATTGCACATTCACAATCAACGCAGTCCGATTCAATGGAGATGGAAACTTGTGCAAGATTTCTAGATACCAACCCATCGTACACACACAAAAGACATTTCAAAGAGCTTGGGACGGGACCCACAAAACCACTACCGTCCATTCAACAGCCGTCGAAATTAGAACTCAAACAACTATCGTCTCATCTCAGATATGCATACTTGGGGAAGTCGTGTACACTTCCAGTGATCATCTCGAACATAGTTAGCGAAGTGGAAGAGGAAAAACTGCTTAAAGTACTCAGGGAGAATAAGATAGCAATTGGATGGACCATAACAGATATCAAATGGATCTGCCCTTCACTGTGCATGCATAAGATTCTTATGGAAGAGAATTTTCGGCCAACCATAGAGAGTCAGCGAAAGTTGAACCCAAATATGAAGGAAGTGATTAGATTAGAGGTGCTCAAACTTCTAGATGTTGAAATCATCTATCCAATATCAGATAGTGCATAGACTAGCCTAGTTCAGGTAGTGCCAAAGAAAAGTAGAATAACAGTAGTGCCAAATGAGAAAAATGAGTTGATACCGACCATAACAGTGACAGGATGGAGGGTTTGCATCGATTACCGAAAACACAATGCACCAACAAGAAAAAATCACTTTTCCCTGTCGTTTATAGACCAAATGCTGGAGAGATTGGCAGGCCACTCACATTACTGTTTCCTCGATAGGTATTCAGGTTACAATCAGATACCAGTGGCACCAAACGATTAAAAGAAAACTACATTCACGTGCCCTTATAGTACTTTTGCATACTACAGGATACCTTTCGGCCTTTGCAATGTCCCTGCCACATTTCAACGTTGTATGATGGCGATTTTCTCAGACATGGTAGAGAAATTTATAGAGATATTTATGGACGACTTCTCGGTCTTTGGGTCTTCATTTGACGAGTGTTTGGAACACTTGAATCTGGTATTACAAAGATGTAAAGAAACTAATTTAGTATTAAACTGGGAAAAATGCCACTTCATGATGCAAGAAGGGATCGTACTTGGGCATCGAATCTCAACAAAAGGGATTTAGATGGACAAAGCAAAGATTCAAGTTATTGAAAAGTTACCGCCACCAACATCAGTTAAAGGGATTCATAGCTTCTTAGGACATACTGGATTTTACAGGAGATTCATAAAAGATTTTTCAAAAATCACCAAGCCCCTCTACAACCTGTTAATGAAAGACGTGCCCTTTGAATTTAATGAGGAATGTCTGGAATCTTTCAACACTTTGAAGGTAAAACTCACGTCAGCATCGGTAATTGTAGCATCTGATTGGAAGTTGCCTTCTAAGTTAATGTGTGATGCCAGTGATCATGTCGTAGGTGCAGTACTGGGACAGCGAAAGAACAAGATCTTCCATGTGATCTATTACGCAAGACGAACATTAAATGATGTCCAAATCAACTACGCAACCACTGAGAAGGAGCACTTGGCAGTGGTCTATGCCTTTGACAAATTCAGATCATATCTCGTGGGGTCTAAGGTCATAGTCTACACAGATCATGCTACATTGAAATATCTAATGACAAAGAAGGATGCTAAGCCAAGATTAATCCATTGGATATTGTTGCTGCAAGAATCTGACATTGAAATTAGGGACAATAAGGGCAGTGAAAATGTGGTGGCAGATCACCTATCGAGATTAGAGCAAGAAGAAGTAGAAGTGTCAGTGGAAATCAACGAAATTTTTTCAGATGAGAAGATGTTCAGTATAGAAGAAACCCCATGGTATGTAAATATCGTCAATTATTTGGCTAAGTCAATCCCACCGCCAAATCACTCGAGTCACCAGAAGAAGAAGTTCTTTGCCGACCTGAATATTATTTTTGGGAAAATTACATTCTCTATAGGCAAGGGGTTGATCAAATTGTGAGAAGGTGTATACTTGAAGATGAAGTACCTAAGATTCTTGAGCATTATCATTCATCTGCCTATGCAGGGCACCTGGGAGCTTCAAAAATTGTTGCAAAGATCTTACAGTCAAGATTTATTGGCCTACATTATTCAGAGATGCCTTTGAATTTGTTAAAAAGTGTGATAGATGTCAATGCACTGGGAACATCTCAAGAAGAAATGAGATGCCAATAAACAGCATATTGGAAGTCAAGATATTTGACGTTTGGGAAATCGACTTTATAGGACTGTTTCCCTCATCGTCTACAAATCAGTATATCCCGGTTGCAGTTGATTATATATCGAAATGGATAGAAGCGGTTGCATTGCCAATGAATGATGCGAAAGTGGTAATTGGGTTCTTGAAGAAATACATCTTTACCAGATATGACATACCGCGGGCAATAATCAGTGAAGGGGGCAATCACTTCTGCAATCGCCAATTAGAGCAATTATTGAATAAATATGGGGTTAAACACTGTGTAGCAACCCCATATCATCCACAAACCTATGGGCAAGTTCAAGTATCCAATCAACAGCTGAAGAGAATATTATAGGTTACAGTGAATTTCTCCTGAAAGGAATGGTCAAAAAAGTTGGACGATGAATTGTGGACATATAGGACAGCATTTAAGACACCGATAGGCATGTCTCCATTCCGCCTAATTTTTGAAAAATCATGCCACCATCCACTGAAAATAGAACACCGGGCATATTGGGCTATGAAACAGTTGAACATGGATTTGAAGGCCGTCGGTGACAAGCATTTATTGTTATTTAATGAGTTAGATGAATTCAGAATGGAAGCATATGAAAACTCAAAACTTATCAAAGAACGCACCAAAAAGTGGCATGATCTACACATTCAGAGACGAGAGTTCAAAGTGGCAGAAAGTCCTCTTATATAACTCGAAGCTTAAGCTTTTCCCTGGAAAATTAAGATCAAAGTGGTCGGGCCCTTACACTATCACTAAAGTTCTGCCATATGGAGCTATATAGGTCAGCCATGAAGTAAAAGGGACATTCATGGTTCATGGGCAAAGGCTGAAACACTACTGGGGTAGGGACTTCTCCAAGGAAAAGTCCACCGTTCAACTCGGAATGCCTAATTGAAGCAAAAGTGGAGGAGTTGAGCTATCGACTATAAACTAACGCTGAGTGGGAGGCAACCCACTGTACTCTTCTATTTGTTTTATCTTTGTTTGCATTAGCTTAGGAAATTTTAATTTTATGTTTGCATTTTTAGTTAGGCCATCGATCATTCATGCATATCAATAGAGTCTAAGCACTGTTCACATGAATTCCTATGCATGGAGCACATATTCAGAAAGCTTGAAGAGGTTCTGGGTGATTGGGGGTATAATTCACGTATTTAAAGACAAAAGGTCATTTTCAAAAATTTAAAGGGCCAATGTGTGATTGAGAGTTCAAAGTGGTTTTGGCACTAAGTTAAAGCCCACACACCCTCCAAGGTATTAATTGAAAATCAAAGTTTGCTTGAGGTCATGTTTTTGGGGGCAAATCAAATTTTTTTTACTGTATTTTGTTTTGTTTTATTTTATTTATCAATGGCAAAAAAAGGGGGGGTTTAGTCTATGCGGCCGCATAGATGTGGTCAGGGCTAAAATTGGCCCTGACCCTCATCTCTATGTAGTCGCATAGAGTAAGAACGAAAAAAAAATTAAAAACTTCAGTCTTTAAAAAGAACACGCATCAACTCCCCCAAATTCTCTCATTCCCACCCGCCTCTTTCACTCACGGCCCCAAATTCGTTCTCAACTCACGTACCCAACACACGAATCCACCCACTTGATACAATCAAGTGCATAAGATAAAAATGATGATTTGGTCTTAACGGCCTTGGCACCTTTCTTAATCAGGAACTTTATCTTGAATTCTGTCTTTATCTTTATTTTATGGAAAAAGAATTTGCCTTTAGAAAGGAAATAAGAGATTCACCGAAGAGCCTTACTACCAGAGCTAGTAAGCTAGCGGAAGAGCTCAGCTCCTACTATAGATGAAGAGCTACTATCATCAAGAGAGGGATTAAACCCTTTTCCGACAGACTGCTCGAATGGACAGACTCATTAAGAGAAGTGCGTATCTAGCATTGGAGTGAGTAAAGATTTTCAACCTTCCAATTCTATACACGATATCAAGGTAAGTGCCCTATGCCATAATTTACAAATTTTGACTTTAGAGATTTGGCTTGTCTTAATTTTCAGTAATTGGTAAAGATTAAGTGCTATGTTATGTTTGTGATTCATATGTGAATTTGGGAGCTACATGATAGTGTATCAATAGCTAAAGTTAAGAGAGTATCACAATGCACACAATGTGTTCGATTAAATGCGTAAGTGACAAGCTTTATGCAATTTTGTGAACTATGCTTTTGTCATACATTGTAATAATGTGAATAGCAATTGGGTAATGAGATATCACATGAAAGGCCATGTAAAACATAAAACCTATTTTGCAACACATAGGCACATGGCTAGGTCACGACACCTTACGCTACCCACTTTGGCACATAATTTGACACACCAGACGAAATTCGATTGATTTGAAATTTGAGTATATGCTAGATCTCATTGAATACTTCCCTATACCTGGAGATTACTTGGGAAAATTTTGATATTTCTCGACGATGCCCGGGGTTGAAAGTGCCCACTCGATCATAGGTCAAATTTTCATAATGTGCATATTTGGGCCTAATTTTTTTAGTTTTTCCTATTGTTGCAATATTTCTACTATCTTAAGTATCATGTTTTGAATATTGCACACCAATGTGTTATACATGCATGTTGAAGCAAGTTTGGAGGGATTCATGAAATACGTGCATTACTAATCTCTATCAATTTTTCGAGTTTCAACAAAAAGCTTAATGAATGCTATTTTGCAACTTTGTAAGATGCCTCCAAAATGAATTTCCAAGGGAAAAGAAGAAGGCGGCCCATCATCAGGAACGACACGCAGTCGAGAGCTCAAAGGGGGGCGTATAGAGGTTCTTGAATTTTGATGCTGCTTCACGGTATGAAAACATCTAAGTTGACGGGCTGTGATTCCAGAACGGCTTGTTAAGTTAGAAGATTTCCCGGGCTATGAATTGAGTACTTTGGTCGACAATTGTGGTTGGGCAAGGATAGTTGAGCATCTACACCCTATATATGAAACATTGGTGGGTGAATTCTATGCAAACTTCAATACTGAGATTGACACACCATGGTCTGAACACATGCATTAGACATGGATGAGGAAAAAGTGATAATGTTCTTGCCAGAGATTATACACAACTATTATCAGCTGACTTGGGACAACATATCCCCCATCCTGACCGTATTCAACTGGAACGAAGTTGGAAAAATCTTATTAGGACGAGAGAATGCATGGCCACCCCGCACTACTGAATGGCACCAGTTGAGTTGACACCTTCGTAGCCATCTTATGACTATTTATGTGCCATAACATTGAGCCAACCTCGCAAAGGACTACATTTACAGATGCCATAGCTGGATTCATTTATCACATGGTACAGGGAAATAAAATTGATCTCGCAACTCTATGTTATGATCAGATACATCATGTGGGAACTCTAGGGGATAGGCACAACTCTATGATCTTTCCTAGCCTCATCACTGGCATGTTTAGGGCTACGGGGATCAATATTGCATCAGGAGAGGCGCTTGCTAAACCCAGCCCCTATAAAGCATAATAATTTGGAAGCTCAAGATAAAGCTAGAGTCAAGCACAGAGAAAAAAAAGAGACTGAGCGTCGAAGGCGACAGGCAGAGCAGGCCAGGGACCTGCAGATCAGGAGATGCCATAGGCACCATTACCATAGGTTGAGGTTGATACATAGTTATTGCGTCAAATATTCATAACAACCACGGGGATCTACCGCAATATAGAGGGCATCCAGCAAGCTCTAGGGGCTTTGACCACCGATATGCAGACAGCCTGACGTGATATCAATACCCCTCAAACCATGGCGCAGACTATCTATCAGGAGGCCCGATTAGCTAGGCGAAAGATGAAAACTATGAACGAATGGCTAAGTATATATGTGGGTAGAGTGGATGAAATACAGATAAGAGTGAACGACACTTGGGACCAAATGCGTAGCATGGAGGACGAAGTTAGAGCACAGAGTAGCATGATGAGAGCCATGCAAGTAGAGCAAGTCAGCAGTCAGATCTACTGAGGCAGATCTTAGCTTATTTCCCACATCCACCTGGCGACGACACCGCAGGACCCAGCTATTATTCACCACCACCATAGTAATCAGGGAAGTTTTATTTAACTCATTTTGCTATTTTTAATTTGCAATTGTCCTTCAAATTATGCCTTTTGAAACTTTTATTTTTCACATTGAGGGTAATGTACTGTATAAGTTTGGGAGGTGGTGGCATATTTTGAACGTGACACAGTTTGGAAACTAAATGATCGGCATGTAATGTAATCCTTTTTTAAACAATCACATTCCATCAATACTTTGTTATTGATTGCATATTGTGTGCCCGATGAGAGATTATTGGATCAATATGCTGTATTAAGTTTATTGCATGTTTGCGTGGGTTTGATAGCCTTGCCGGCAACGATGTGATTATTGGAATAGATCTGTGTTAGGAACTGAGAATATGGTGCAGAATTTGATTAACTGATACTTGTTGAGGTAGTACTTGACATTCCATATGCACGTCACTCATGCCATACATGTCAGGTGAGTGATTGGGTATGAATAAAGCTAGAAAAACCAGAAGACCTCGATTAGATTAAGCCATAAAGCAATGTAGACCCATAAACCAAATTGCCTTAATGAATATTTTGGAGATGGTTTAACAATTATAAGAGAATCTTGAGATAAGTGGGGGCTCCGTACATAAATTACTCTATTTGGATTGCCTAGACAAGTGAGATGAAAACTAGGAGAAGGACTTAAATTGGGGGTCGATTCTAGAGACCAAATGTCTAGAAAAAAGGGGCATAATCTTAGGTTACGAACCGACACCTTTCCAAGCCTATGACTCAAGCGAGTAAGCTTTTAAGGATATCTCAAAATCTGGTGCCCTAAAGCCAACTGGTTTAGGAAACACTGGCCCAAAGTTCGTTACAGGGGTCATATAGAAAACAAGAGTGAAAGAGGTCAATAAAAAGTCATCTGATCGAGTCTTTATAACTCGAGTGAATAAGCCTAAAAGGGTTTAAAATCTGGTACTCTAAAGCCAACTGGTTTATGAATTACCGGCCTAAAGCCCATTATAGGGATTATATAGAAAGCAAATGAGAAGATAACATAAATAATACAGAATATGATAATATGAATAAAGCCCTTGGACATTCGATTAATAAAAACCACACCTTCAAGGCGAGACAAGTAACTTAGTTTAATCTTGAGTGTTGAAGCAATCAATCTAAGAGAGCCTTCACTTGTTGTCATGTGAACTTGTGATGGTGAGATTTATCCAAACAAAGAGAGGGTAAGGACTACAGTCACCTATGTCTTTAACTTTAAAATACGACCCCGAGATAACTGAGTGAAAAGAACAAGTTTGGAGGGTTGTGTATCTCTCGAGCGAAGTAAGGATATATTTGACCATTTTGGGGTCGGAATTTAACCGATCATGAGCTTTATATGTTGGCATGACTTCACACACACACGTCAAGTATGTATTCAACAAGTAAAGGTTGATTTCATTCATACATTAATCAATTTTCTTGGAGCAAGAGACTTAGTCCAATCCTGAGACACGGCAGGTTATTGAGTCATGTTTGTTTTTGAGCTAAGTCACTATTTTGTTTGAGGACAAACAACAGTCCAAGTTTGGTGGAGTTGATAAGTGCGTTTTTGTGCACTTATTTAATGCACAAACGTGACTAAATCACGAGCAAAATATTTAAATTGTGGCTTAAATTCATTCAATTGTTGGATTGTAGGGTATAGTGATGGACACGGTAGAATACAAGAGAAAAACAAGCAGAAAGAACCAAAACAAACCAAACTGAAAGTTCAGGGACCAACATGCAAATATTCAAAAGATGAACCAAAGGAGCAATCAAAGATTTGATCTATCCAAGTACCAATTGGACGTTAAAATTGATAGAAAGAATGAAAA